AGGACACCCGAGCAAAGCCGCCGCCTGGGCGGCTTTGCTCGTTTGCCTGGGAGCAAAGCCGCCCAGGCAGCGGGACCCCCGCCGCCTGGGCGGTTTTGCTCCTGTCCCTCTGGTCTGCTGGGGGGGTCCAGCGGCTTTGCCCCCCCCCCCAGCAGACCAGGCTTTTGTTGCAGGACGCCTTGGGTAGAGCAGCTGGGGTGCTGCCGGGTTGTTCCTGTGGGAACCTACTGGGCAGTGCCCCAGCTGTTCTGACCCAGGCTCCAGATTCAGCAGCTTTTGAAACTGATCAGGCTGATTCTAGGAAGCTGGGGGCAGAGCAACTCTGCCTCCGGCTTCCTGTAGTCAGCCCCTGGTCAGTTTCATTGGCAGCAGCTGAATCTGGAGCCAGTTCCGACTTACATACAAATTCAACTTAAGAACAAACCTATAGTCTCTATCTTGTACGTAACCCGGGGACTGCCTGTACTTGTAAACTGAGGACAATGACATTGGAAGTCCCTGAAGCAATAAATGTACACCACCAGGTTTTTGTGTTTTTGCTCACTCTTCAGAGCAGAAAGCCACATTTCCCTTACCTAAGTTTCATTATACATGGGTCCAAAAAATTGGAAGGACACATTTTATAAAAATAAGCTTGTAAAAGAAATAAATTTGATGTATTTCTACATATTCTTAGCTGTGTTTGTTGGTCTAAAAACTTAATATTATTTTTATAAGGTAAAAGAGAATTCTCTAGAGTGATTTTACTTGCGTAAATGCTCTTTATTTTGTGAGATTGTTTGCTGGAGAATAAAATGTACAAAAATGTAAGCTCAGAAACTAGCATTAAAATGATGCAATCCCTGATTGTTAACTATTATTTCCATAAAAGTATTTTATTGACTGAGTAATCTTTGTGAAGAAATCATGCTAATGGCACAGTTATGTTGCCCAATAACATCATATTTACAGCAATTTTATTTGACAGTTTAGACATCAATTACAATATAGTTGCTCATTGTAACATTTTTCAGGTAATTAAAAAAAATGATAACCATAAACAAAATGCACACTACCCTTACTTAGATTACCCTCCTTTAATATTACATAAAATGAATATAATCTCTTTGTGATCTTAGCAAAAGGCTGAACATGAGTTCTGATTCTTCCCACATGCAGAACTGATAGTCCTCCAGGAAATCAGAGTTGTGTGTAGCTAATGGATTGTTAACCTTCATTGTATAGTAAGGATCAGTCCTTGGCTTGTTATTTTAATGTGGTGACATCGAGGCTACCTCCAGACTGCCTCCCTCTGTCCGCAGAGGGATGTAAATCAAACACTTTGAAAGTGCAAATGAGCCGGATCATACAGATGTATTGATTTTAGTCAAGTTACACTGATTTATACAATCTAAAGACTAAAGACTTAGATCGAGGGATCTGGAGTACAGGATCTGTCGGAAAAGCTCCCTGCTGTCGGCAGAACCACGGCTAGACTTTACTTTCACTTTCGAAAGGGCGCTTGATCGGCACAGTGCCCGAACGTGAGTATGCAAATGAAGCCTGAGATATTTAAATCCCATGCTCATTTGCGCTTTCAAAGTGCTTGATTTGCATCCCTCTGAGGACAGAGGAACGCAGTCTGGAGGTAGCCTGAAAGAATGGAGTGGCCCATATGTGTGAATGAAAACAAAATGAGGAGGATGGGAACTGCATTAAACTGAGAAGGAACCTATTGAAAGTAGGTAGACAACAACAGGCTTTTAAAAAATGTGTATAGAATATGGTATATGAAGAGACTAGCTCATCTAAGACATCTATGAGAATTTGGAAAGTATGTGGCCTGACAGCATTTATTAGGTCTATAGGTAATATTTATTTTAATTCTGAATTTTGCTTTGGTAAGATATTCTGCACAATTGTGTTCTTTGTTGTTTATGATCTTATGTTCCTCAAGATTCTATGATTCATGAGTCTTTGGTATAGGCAATGGAGAAAAATTGTATTAGTAAATTACATTCTGTTCTCAGTTACACTACGGTACATCCAAATTAGTTGATTTGATGGCAATGGAGTTATTCTGGTTTTTATATCACAGACATGGATAAGAGAAGCTCTTTCATTGTATCTACATTTCTTTGTGTCTCTTGAAATGTGTTTGCAGTGTATATTGTAAGATCCTTGGCATTTTGTATTACATGAATGTACTGAATCTTTGGCACTTACCAGATAATCAATAATAATATGGTGATAAGATTATAAAAGATATATATACCATGTCCTGTATTTCTATTAAAAGAAGGAATACTTTTTTGCCTGTTTATTTTTAGGAAGGATGGCCACATATTTCAATTATGTTGTTTTCACCATTGCAGCTAAACTTAAGCTGATTGTAAATCTGTTTGCCTGTTACTGGAAATAATTGTTGTAAAATAATCATTAAGGCAAAACTCAGAGACCTAAAGCCCACTATTTAGTTGTGTAAAATGCAGGTGGGTAGAATGACAATTAGTCTTAATCCCTTCCCTTAAAAGTAAGTTTCAGTTCTTTGAAAACAATAATAAATTTGTGTAATCTTGCCTATCTAAAAGAATTACAAAATATTTTTGTATCTTTTCCAGGAACTCAGTATTTATTGGAGCTCTTGATTATACCACAGAAGCTGGAAAAATAAGTTAAAGCATAAGATGTGCAAAATTCTGCAGTATTAACCTTAATAAACTGTGGGTATGTCTAGATTACAGGGTTTTTTTTGAAAAAAGTAGCCTTTTTTCAAAAAAACTTCCCCCGCATCTAGACTGCTGCCGCATTCTTTCAAAGTTAAATCAAAAGAAAGTGGCAGTTTTTTCGACTGCAGAAAACCTCATTTTTACGAGGAATAGCACCTTTTTTTGAAAGTGGCATTATTGAATGCAAACAGTGCTTTTTCGAAAGAGAGCATCCAGACTGCCTGGGTGTTCTCTTTCAAAGAAGCGGCTGTCTTTTTAAAAAATATTGGCTACTGTCTAGACGATCTCTTTCAAAAGATACTTTTTTGAAAGTATCTTTTGAAAAAACATCTTTCAAAAGAGGCTTGTAGTCTAGATGTAGCCTGTGTGTTTTTAAAATCTACTAAGTTTGAATTTATTCCATTCTTGGATATTTCCTAAAAGTTGCTATTGGTCAGTGATCTAAACTACTGTGCAGCTCTTTGTGTGATTGGCAGTAACTAAAACAATAGTTGTCCTATTGTGAACCCAAT